GCAATACTCTATCCCCAGCTATGTTGCTTGATCCAGACTCCTAGCACGGTGAATAGTAAGAAGACGAAAACCTCGGACACAAACTTTAATAATCCAACAACACACGATCAACAGGCGATGCCCGGAGCTTCCGAACCCAAGTCAGTGGAAAGAATGGTATCCTGTACGTGGTCGGATTTGAATTTCCTTGGAGTATCAACAGGCCATTGATTTTTCATAGTTTGACCTTGAAGATGCCGGGAGTTCGCTAGCACACATAAAAACACAGCGTTTTTTGGGGGATATTGATATCCCCAACAATCGATGAGCATGAGCTTCATCAAAATATAGGACGAACGTCTCATCTAGTGCAGTTGGCAAGTCTTGAACGAATATGCTACCGTCCGTTTGAATAGCACAACAACTCAAACTTCCTTACATGAACAGTCATTGATCCTAAACAGTGAATCCTGCCCAAACAGCCATAAGATTATAGGTTGAGTTATATCGTGTGACAAAATTTGAAAATGGAGTGTATAGTTTCCGATTTTGTCGTACTGTCTGACAAGAATTGCCAGTAAAAGCGCTTGACATACTTCACGTGAAGAGAATATGAACAACTAGATGAGTATTTACGTTATCCATAATCAATCTCAGTTCGCTTGGAACGGCCTATAGTTCGAGCTATATTTAACACTGATGAATGGGAACGTGATTAATGGTGATGTCATGCTGACTGACACTTGGAAACCTGACAGTCAAAAGTTAAGGTAGGTATTGAAATTTCGCATAGGCACGTGACCTACAGCATCACGCAGTGGTCAAAATGTAAGGGTACTGTACTCGGACCTCACAACTGCTCGTGATTCGCGGCAACAGTGACATGAGTACTTTTTAAAGCCGATTAATCGTTCTTCAGGAGGCAGTCGCCATGAAGATAAGTAAATAATATACCTTTATAAGGTGAAGGCGTGCTAAACCTTTCCTTCGGTGCGACAAATGCACAACAGAATACAGCAGCAGGTGGAAATCCACAAAAAAGGCGCAGCCGCATTCCATCACGGAAATAAGGTACTACAATTACATTCGGGTCTGAAATAAAAATTTATTACTCAGCCTGTGTCCCTCACATCATTCGCCCGGACTGCGATGCAGCTCCCTGCCGCCTGCCCGCCTACCCTCCTGCCCGCCTACCCTCCTGCCCGCCTGCCTGCCTGACTGCCTATCTGTCTGTCTATATGTCTGCCTGTCTGTCTGTCTATCTATCTATCCATATATTTGTCTGCCTGTCTGTCCGTCCGCCTATCTGCCATCATTAGCTTGGCTGTTTCTCAAATTAATATCAAATGCAAAAGTTGAATTCACCTAATTATGGAAATTTTGCGTGCATTTTTTCGAGCACTGAAGTGCGAACGCGGATGGTAGGGTTCGTGAGTTATGGAGCAAATGAGTACGTGTGCATGAAGGCACACATGGAAAGAAATATCACCCACGGAGTCAAAGCAAAATAACTACCGAACCGATTTCAAGCGACGCCAGTATCGCACCATGCTCGTGATCACCCTGATTATTCCATCCACTGACGAATTAACGATCCGTACTCAATTTCCCCATCTTTCGGATCTGCATTATCTTTGATAATCTTTCTTACTTCAGCCTCTGTGAGTGGCTCTTTCCCGTATCTGGTGAGAATTTTGTGTAGTGTCTGGCTACTTAATTTACCTCTGTCCTCTTTGTCAAACACAAGGAAGGCATTCCATATTTGTCGCTTAAAAACAGCTTCACTGGAAGGCCACATTTCTGCGATCACGCGATAGAGATGTTCAGTGGCGATGAATCCTGTATGATTTGGATCAAGTTCCTCAGTTCGTCTGGAAATCTCTTCGTTTGTTGGGATCAACTTTAGCGAGCGCAGTATGTCTCCAACCTTCTGGGACTTTACGTGCCCCGTATTACCGGGGTCGAAGGAACGCAAACAGTTTCTGATCGCCTGCTTGTGATGGTCTGGTAATGCATTTTCATTCATTCTGGCAAGGCTGAGAAGACTTAGTGAGATGAAAGGTAAACCCTGCGGATAGGATCGTAATTCCTTTAGTTGATTAGTGCTGTTTGAAAGTAATCACGTGCCGCAACTCTTGCAAGCTGTTATCGATTATTAGCCCTCTGTAGGACGAACACTCCGTTCAGTGTTCGGCACTTGATAGGTGTATGCACCAACTACCCTCAACATTTTCAAAGATTCAGATGGGAATCATGCTTTTCATTTTGCGCTGGGTGCTGGAATCCATCTAATAAATCGCAGTAGACCAACGGTTAGGATAAGTTTTATCCTTACATAAAGGAAACTACTCACAAGGTTGTTGAAAACTCCTCAGCAGCCCGCGACCGGTTTCGCCCTTCTTGGAGCTCATCAGGTAGGCGATGTCTGCCTTCTGTCTGTCTATCTATCTATCCATATATTTGTCTGCCTGTCTGTCCACCTGCCTATCTGCCATCATTAGCTTGGCTGTTTCTCAAATTAATATCAAATGCAAAAGTTGAATTCACCTAATTATGGAAATTTTGCGTGCATTTTTTCGAGCACTGAAGTGCGAACGCGGATGGTAGGGTTCGTGAGTTATGGAGCAAATGAGTACGTGTGCATGAAGGCACACATGGAAAGAAATATCACCCACGGAGTCAAAGCAAAATAACTACCGAACCGATTTCAAGCGACGCCAGTATCGCACCATGCTCGTGATCACCCTGATTATTCCATCCACTGACGAATTAACGATCCGTACTCAATTTCCCCATCTTTCGGATCTGCATTATCTTTGATAATCTTTCTTACTTCAGCCTCTGTGAGTGGCTCTTTCCCGTATCTGGTGAGAATTTTGTGTAGTGTCTGGCTACTTAATTTACCTCTGTCCTCTTTGTCAAACACAAGGAAGGCATTCCATATTTGTCGCTTAAAAACAGCTTCACTGGAAGGCCACATTTCTGCGATCACGCGATAGAGATGTTCAGTGGCGATGAATCCTGTATGATTTGGATCAAGTTCCTCAGTTCGTCTGGAAATCTCTTCGTTTGTTGGGATCAACTTTAGCGAGCGCAGTATGTCTCCAACCTTCTGGGACTTTACGTGCCCCGTATTACCGGGGTCGAAGGAACGCAAACAGTTTCTGATCGCCTGCTTGTGATGGTCTGGTAATGCATTTTCATTCATTCTGGCAAGGCTGAGAAGACTTAGTGAGATGAAAGGTAAACCCTGCGGATAGGATCGTAATTCCTTTAGTTGATTAGTGCTGTTTGAAAGTAATCACGTGCCGCAACTCTTGCAAGCTGTTATCGATTATTAGCCCTCTGTAGGACGAACACTCCGTTCAGTGTTCGGCACTTGATAGGTGTATGCACCAACTACCCTCAACATTTTCAAAGATTCAGATGGGAATCATGCTTTTCATTTTGCGCTGGGTGCTGGAATCCATCTAATAAATCGCAGTAGACCAACGGTTAGGATAAGTTTTATCCTTTCATAAAGGAAACTACTCACAAGGTTGTTGAAAACTCCTCAGCAGCCCGCGACCGGTTTCGCCCTTCTTGGAGCTCATCAGGTAGGCGCAGCCCCCGAGTTTCCGTCAACCTTATGTTATTCCCCAGAATAATCACAGTTAATTGTGCTCACCTCAAGTGGAATCTGATTCAGTAAATTCCGTCAGACCAACTGAACAGTTGGTGTGCCGGTCAACAAAGGTCACACCGGATAGGATCGTAATTCCTTTAGTTGATTAGTGCTGTTTGAAAGTAATCACGTGCCGCAACTCTTGCAAGCTGTTATCGATTATTAGCCCTCTGTAGGACGAACACTCCGTTCAGTGTTCGGCACTTGATAGGTGTATGCACCAACTACCCTCAACATTTTCAAAGATTCAGATGGGAATCATGCTTTTCATTTTGCGCTGGGTGCTGGAATCCATCTAATAAATCGCAGTAGACCAACGGTTAGGATAAGTTTTATCCTTTCATAAAGGAAACTACTCACAAGGTTGTTGAAAACTCCTCAGCAGCCCGCGACCGGTTTCGCCCTTCTTGGAGCTCATCAGGTAGGCGCAGCCCCCAAGTTTCCGTCAACCTTATGTTCTTCTCCAGAATAATCACAGTTAATTGTGCTCACCTCAAGTGGAATCTGATTCAGTAAATTTCGTCAGACCAACTGAACAGTTGGCGTGCCAGTCAACGAAGGTCACACGAAACTAATCTCGTCCGTTCTGAGTGCCGTTTGTCCTATAGACACAGTCTATCTACAATGCTGATCAGCCACCCATCACTCTAACCTAGGGCGAAAGTTCATCTTAGGAATCCTCTTGGAATTCCAGCAATGCATCTTGTTGATAGTTCACAACAACGATGAAACAGCTGTCACCAAATAACTGATAAAAATTGAGAACCATTAGTACCTGTTGTGCATTAGCCCCGTATCTTCCTCTGATACTTCAATGTGCCCTTTCTACAGCTTCTTAAATTAAACGCACTGTGGCCGTGAGCAAACACAACAGCCCTGTTGCAACTGATGTGATTTTATGATGGCAACAACTTCGAATATGGCAAAAATAGTTGGTCAATAATATTGTTGTTATAAGCTTCCTAACTGGTGGTTTACATCCGTGCTTCCCAAATCCAATCAACTGGATCGGTAAGTTGCTTCCCTTAGAAAAGTCTTGCAGTAGTATACCCGTAACACACCACTCATGAGGTGGCTTAACTGCTCGATAGCTCACTACCCGTTTAAGACCTCTTGGAGCTCATCGGGTAGGCGTAATTTTCGAATTTCCATCAAACTTATGTGCCGGAAGGATGAAGCAAGCGCCGTTGTGTAAAATAAACTATACTGATATTCATTACTACACTGCTGTACCTAGGCAAACAGAGCTTCCCCGTGTTTTCAGCCAGCCTTGTTCGCTTCCATTGGTACCAGCATCAGAAGCTTACACGTAGCACCCTCTCTTATAGCTTACCTACAGCGCCGGCGTTCATCGCATCAATTACTGCTGACTGTGCGGTTATTTTCGGGTACGAGTTCCGTATTAGCATTATTATTACTATACCATTGTTAGTACTATCACGTGGGCATTCAGTTCTCCATGGAAGATACCACGCTGCCGCAAACTGAGAAGAGTTCATTACTGAGAGTCGAAAGTAGGCAACTATAAACCTTGAATTCTATGAAATGTAATCCGTTGAAGCCAACTGTAGAGAGATGAATTAAGCCGCACTGGGACCCACTATTTCTGTTTGCACCATTAGGACAGTGGGTATATGTTGAGTTAAAGACTCGTTTCTCCAATGATAATTATCACGTCTCATCGTTGAGATGCTTCCGCGTCCTGGACATAGGAAATCAGCCAGTCTTCCAGCGTTTCCTGCTTGCATTTACTCATGTTGCAGAAGATCAGAGAATGAGTGCATCAGTGACTGAATAAATGGATGAGTGGTGTCCCTACTTCACAATAAGCTGAAACGGAACAGTAAGTAGGTATTTCAGACGAGCGTTCCATGCGCTGCAAGCATGAATCACGCATTAGCAGTGGGAAACCGGCAACAGTGAAATGAAGTGTGCAACTGGCTAGGCGTCTAACACGATGTTGTCATAACTCTACTTCCAAAGATTCGACCTTCCACCACCCTCACCATCTGAGCTTCTCTTGGAAAACAGATTCCATTTAAAAGACGACAAAGATTAGTTGATATGATTTTGCTCGCTTGCCGCCCCGCTCGAAACTCGATGCTTTTGAGCAAAATACACTCAGTTGCAAGTCACCCTGGTGGTAACTGGAGATAAAGTTGTTTCTCTCGTTAATGAGCAATTCACTTGTGCAACAGGCACATAACCTTCCCCAATATGAGACGATGACAATAGCACCCAATTCGTGCAAGCAGACGAACCAAGTCAAAACTATCCACTGACTGACTGACTCCATATTCCTGAACTATCGTGAACCTTTTGGGTTCCAGATGTCGATATTTGGTTTCACGTTTACCTTGAATAATTCTGAATGCAGGCGAAGTACGTACAAAAACATGCTTGAGATAAAGGTTTCTAGTTCATATAATGTTTCTAAGCAGTGCAGTTGCCTGAGATGAATCGTGAAGACGTTGTCTTGGACCCCACCAAATTTAGATCAGCCCACAGCCATGGGTTGCATTGTTGTGGATAGGACGTCCTATTTTTCTAACAAGATGTCACGAGACTGTGGAAGACTTGGGTAAGAACTGGTCGTATTTTACAACTGGTTTTCGTAGTGTGTCCATATATTTGCTTAATTAACACTTCATACTTGGCCGTTCATCGTCAATTTCAGTTAGTGCCGTCATTTTAGCGGAATTACAAACATGAACCGTTCCGTTCAATTGTAATCAGTCATTTTCTAGTTTCTCAGGTTCACGCATGGGTCATTAGAAGGAGACTATCTCAACTATCGTTTCTAGTAGGTGTCCACAAAGGCCAGAAGAAGTACGCCACCGACAGAATCAGAGCAACAATAATTCTCGGTCAGTCACCATGATGGCCTTTCATGGTACTCAAAAATCGTGAGCAACACTACACCAGATTCCCAATGTTTCTGTACAAGTGAAACCAAAAGACGTGGATATGTTCAAGAGAGAGAGCTTGAGTACAGCACTCCAGACCGTCTTTGGGACTGTGATGAAAAAATTCAACTATTTTAGGCAGTAAAGCGTCCCTGAACCGCCGCAAAGTTATTACACTTTCCCACATGCCGCTGCATGTCATTGGTCAAAAACTCTTCGGATGAGTCGTACCCAATAGAGAAGAGTTGGTGTCAGTTGCAGGCCTGCGACCTCAACCTGAATGAATCTTGTTAGATGAGGATATTGCTCCATAGAGTTCCATATCAGTATAAAAATATGTTCTGAATTAACTGTCAAAGTTTTTGCAAGACCTGCAAGATTATGGCTGTAGCGTTCTGTACGGTGGATTAAGGAGTCATGAATCGAAAATCTTGGGAACCAAAAGGCTAGATACTCATATTCTCTTCCTCAAACGTTTACTGGTTTAAAGTTATTTTTAGAACAAACTAAGCTATCGGTCAGTGATTAAGGATGCATGAATGAATTGCAAGCATTGAGCAAAGAATTCTCGTCTGTGTTTAGAAATCAATAAAGTGCCAGCCTCTGGACTTCGAAAGCACTCATTTACTTCAATCGTTGAACTCACAACGCAGAGACGAACCCCGATCATGCAGGCCAAGGGTTAAAACGCATATACTACTATTTGACTTTTTGGTTCAATACTTTCGCCCTCCACTTCTGACTGGCTGAAGCATACGTGTACAGTCATACCGCATGTACTTTGAAAAAGCTTGATCGATAAATCGCCCCAGCCAGTTGGTCATTCATTCTTTCATTTTGTGGCCTGCACCAACATACACCTCGACACGAAAATGAAATTCACGGAGTTGATGGAACATGAACAGGAAGAGATCAAGAAAGGAGTTCGTTTTTTTGATCCAGCGAACACCGGCTCAGTTGCAACGGCCGATTTGGGAAAAATACTGAGGTGGTGTAAACTGATACCTACAAATGCCGAAATCAGCGCCCTAGCTGAACAGCTGGATCCTTCGAGGACAGGACGGATCAGCCTACCCTTTGTGTACAATGCAGTTGCTAATATGTGGCCTTCTTACCCTGGTGAATTGGAGCGGCGAGCTTGGGGAGCATTTCTGACATTCGATAAATGCGATAAGGGCAAGATAACCCCGGAAGATCTTAGCAAGATACTACTGGGTTTTGGATTAGAGCCATTGCCGGAAAACGAAGTGAAAAAAATCATCAAGGAAAGCATCGATCGAAAAGACGGTCTAATTGAATACGGAATGTTGATCCGAGAATGGCTTAAGTGAATAATGCAGGTTAACAGAAAAAAAGGATTTTCTGCAGAAGTACCCGCTTTCGAGTACCTCGCTCGGTAATACGCTTGAAAACAAGAATTCATTATGTCCTGCAAACGGACGTCAAGAACGCTCATCAAATGCAATGAGTCCAGATCCACACCGTTCAAGGTGTCCCATGACTTGTTTGTTTGTTCAGGAAAACATAAAATCTTTCCTGTAGACCTAGTCACTCTTGTGATTTTTTGTTAGACTGAGTTTCAGTCTTCAGCCTTCAGCACCCACTAACAGGGTGCGAGGAGACAATCATGGTCGTTCGTAGTCATTGCACGCTCCTATGGTGTTTCTTCTGATTGGTCACCATCATTATCATTCACAGCCGCACCAGAAGAGAACATTGGTGCTTCATTGCCGTACAGCTGTCATTTTATTTGAATGGAGCCCCTGAACTGACCGAGGTCTATGTAAGGTTTGAGTACCGTCGGTGCGACTCGCCTTCCAGGACAATGTACGGGATCCTCCCTGTGCATGGTTGAATGTGCTGTAAGATATGGCCGATAAGCATGGCGTTCCTGTTGTCAGTTTCTATCGAGCTTATCTGAATGGGTGACTGGAGTAAAATATGGCGAGCTGGCAGCAGGTCCATCCCCCATCCACTGTTCTTTTCCTCACAATAAAATTTTAAAATAACTTGTAATTGTGCGGCTGCGAAACATCAGTGTGACGGATACATTACATGCTCTTCAAAAAACTTAATCTACCCCTTGACAAACACATTTTTGTGCTACGAATAATTAGCGATTGATAGAATCATTCACTAAAATGCTGTGACAAGAAATTTCGGTTAGTCGGTCAAAAGAGAACCAAGTTCACCTACTTAACTTAGGGAACCCGTGGAAGCTAGAGATTATCAACACTGCATGCAATGGTATTTGAAACATGGAGATACATGATCCTATTCCAAACACCGGATCAGCAATGCTGAAGTTCGTCTAATGGTATTCGAGAGAAATAACTCACTCTCCATAGATGAACTGATCACACTGCATCGATGGCGCTGGCTTGGCCACGTGCTGCGTATGCCAGTCGACCGACTTCCTCGAAGGGCTCTTTTCGCACAACCACGTGAAGGGTGGAACAGAGCCAGAGGCGGTCAAACAATGACTTGGCAGTGAAGTATAAAAGCCATTACCATCAAACTCAGCTGCGCCGGTCATTGCCGTCTTCCCGGATGGCGACCCCGAGACGGGCCAAATCAATGACTAGAGACATTGTCAGACATAGCCCAGTCGCGCCCTCAATGACGCTCATGCATCCAAGCTATTGCCTTCAATGCATAGCTCCTTTTCCAACCTCCCCCCCCACTTGACGGCTCGCTGACAGTGCCGGATTTATGCACCAATTTATCAGCTCCCACCTGCAATGCGTAACTACCTATTCCCCCTCGAATCATCAGCGAACGAAACTGTAACAGGTACAACCACTGTACGACGAGTACGCGGTTATTACAGCTGACACTGATGGTGATGATGATGATTCCAAAATTGGCCCGCTCCGTTATGCCCGATACTTTCCACGTTTATGGCTTTTTTCTGAATTATTGCTAAAAGCATGGTTTTTACAACGTTAAAAAAGGGAATCACGTGAATTCGCTCATAAGAAACTGTCATGCAGTTACCGTTGATCAATGATAAAAACAAATACAAACAGATTGTCTGCCCTACGTAGTAATAAGCGTTTAACAGAGAATTCCGGTTCTTTCACACATATTTTAGCAATAAAATTACGCTTCGTATGGTAGTGTTTTAACTTTCAAGCAACTTTAGTGCAACTTTCTGGGCAAGGCTACGTAAAATAAAGATAATCGTTCAGCTGTAACACCCTTTCGGTGCCTAGCTGCCATAAGACCCTAAGGAAGCACGAGGTCTAGGATACTGCCAGGTTACCCAAGCCTAGACAGAATTCGAGATGCAGAGGTCGGGTTCGAACCACATACCCTCCGGCCAGTAAATTCGCGCTCTAACCACTGAGCCATCTCTCCCTCGCAAGTCTATGTACCGGACAATGAATCAGTGTCGCGACTGCGCCTCGGGCTAATTTAAACTTAGTTCGTTAAAAATGCGCTTATTCCTAATTCTAGGCTAAAATAAACTATCGTTATCTTGAACGTTGTTGCTCCGGCTTTGAGCTGATTGATTTCGTAGACCCGTATTGGTATGTCCCGACAACCTAACAAACGTTTTGACACGACACAACGCGTGATGGCGAGAAAATAAAGAAGTAAATAAATAAACAAATAGATAAATAAATACATACATAAATAGACGAGTGACAGACTGAATGAATGAATGAATGAGCGAACGGATTATTGTTTGCATGGATGAATGGATGGATTTATCTGTCTACCAGTTAATCAGTTGATTGTTGGCTTGAGGTATACACGCTTGGGTTGGCTGACAATGTTGTGGAATATAGGTAGCTCACGTGCGCTGACCCACTCGACCCTGCACTGACGATGTCACCTCGATTAGTAGTGAAACGTTCTCAATCAAACTACCAAGCTCAGCGAACACACCAACAATCAAACGGTTAAGTAAGTTGTTGGGTGGAAGAACGGAATGAATGGATTTATCCGGTCTTCATGTTCTGCACTGAAATTGGTCACGCAAAAGCCTTTGGATGCGCACGGGTCGAAAAATTAATGTGTTTAAATTACATAGTACGTAGTTGCATGAATCATTCTTTTGCCTTCTACGGCATGTCTAAAGCGGGAACTTTTAGTCACACTGGTTGTTCTTACTTTTCGTTATTACGACTGAGTCCTGTAGTTGGGCAAACAGCCGAAGGAAGCTTAATGTAACCCTTTCGTCACGTACAATTTCAAACATTAAAATCAATACCGCACCCAAGTGGCACAGTGTCTCAGTCCTACATTAACTTGCATCAACTCTTGCCGAACGCCTGACTGTTCGAAATCAGTTTCACAGATATGATGGGCCAGGCAAAGGAAGAGATCAAGAAGGGCGTTGACTCTTTTGACCCAATGAAAACTGGCTTTGTGTCAACCTCAGATTTAGGAAGTATTCTTAGGTGGCTGAAACTGATACCCACAAATGCCGAAATTGCAGAACTGGCTTCAAAACTGGATCCCTTAGAAAGCGGAAAAGTAAGCATTCCTATTGTATACCAAGCAGTTGCAAGTATGTGGCCATCAAGTCCCACCGAACTACAGGCTCGTGCTTGGGGAGCTTTTTTGGCCTTTGACAAATTAGATTCCGGCACGATTACTCCTGCAGACCTACGCGAAATTCTATTGAGAATTGGAAGGGAACCTGTGCCGGAACGTGAGGTGGAAACGATAATCAGGGATAATACTGACCCAAGAAGCGGACTTATCGAATACCGTGGGCTTATTCGACAATGGTTGAAGTAGACAAAATAATCTGAATGCGAAGTGAACTACACAGCAAATGTGCACGTTTTGTATAAAAAAATACCAACATGCATTTGCACCGCTGGATATCCTCACTTCGGATATCGACAACACTCAACTTTCGGTGAGCCGTGCAACATACCGTTCAAGGTATCTGTGAAATCACCTGCATGTACAGGAAAATATAATGATATTCCTGCATACAGGGTGTCTTCTGAGTTGTATTGTCTTAAAGCACTCAAGTCACTCTCACTGAGATTGGGTTTCGATGAATTTTTCGTTACTCTCATCATCATCATCATTGTCAGCTGTAATAGCCGCGTACTCGTCGTACAGTGGTTGTACCTGTTACAGTTTCGTTCGCTGATGATTCGAGGGGGAATAGGTAGTTACGCATTGCAGGTGGGAGCTGATAAATTGGTGCATAAATCCGGCACTGTCAGCGAGTCGTCAAGTGGGGGGGGGGTTGGAAAAGGAGAAATAGCTTGGATGCATGAGCGTTATTGAGGGCGCGACTGGGCCATGTCTGACAATGTCTTTAGCCATTGATGTGGCCCGTCTCGGGGTCGCCATCCGGGAAGACGGCAGTGACCAGCGCAGCTGAGTTTGCTGCGTTACTCTTTCCGGAATCAAAACTTATGAATTTGCTGTGTTACAAATTTAAGCCCTGTGAACACAACAACAAATGTAGTCAGCGCAAATACCATTATATTTGTAACAGTTATGTGTCTACGTTGGCGATGCTGTGAAATATGGGAACTTAAGGTGTATTGATCGGTCGGTGGATCGTTTTCCTAACTTGACAGACAGAGTGCAAACATTTAGACTTCAGTTGAAGAAGCATCATCAGTGGTCTAGAAAGTCTCTTGCTTGCGTTCAGTTCCTTTACGCTGGTACCGCAGTCAACCAGTGATTGTAAAGAAACCGTGTACTTATTGACTACTATTTAGACGTAAGCAGTCGTAAGCAACGTCGCATTGGTGATGTCTCCCCAACTAAGTACCAACTCTTTGTAATCCAGCTATCAAGCTCGGAGAACAAACCGATAACCAGGAATATCTGTTTTACGCACAAAAGGCTCTCGATATGACGTAAGGGTACGAGAAAATCTTTGGTGGTTGTTATTTTACTGGTTTTGAAGTACGAGATATTGTAATAATCTCCGTTGTCCTCGTCTTATCCGCCCCTGCTCCGTTTGCAGTGCAGATTTCGCAGAGGTGAACGAACCTCAGAATGCCTTCACTAGTCTAGGTCTGAAACGGTCCTACCAAATTTTTTTACGACCACCGTAACCATCATTTTTAGAACGTTGTCTCTTTACTGATCAGTTCAAAATCTTCAAATCCATGAATAACGGTATGTTGTAAATTCATCCGCTCCGTAAGAACCGACAAAACCGTCTAGCCAAAAGTGACCGGTTTCTGGAAATCTCCCCTTCTTTGAGGATAAATAAGGGCTTTCAAAAAGCCGCAACTGCCTTCAGTCTGATCTTCTTTGATTTTGCTCCACGAGGGACAACACTGAATTAACCGTCTTTCACTATCCTGGGCTACGCACAGCTATACTTTATGGTCCCAGTGACAAGTTATCATGTTACCCGAGCCTGAGGTCATAATGTTGGCAAGGCTAATGTTCTTCAAAACAGTGTGGCATAAAGATCAAGAGAACTGTTCCGCGCTGTACTGACCGGCATAAAGTAATACGCTCACTATTAGGGTTGGACGCCCTACAGTGGTGTTTTTTTGTGAGTGAAAAATTGTGTTGATGAAGGGGGAAACAAAGCATAGTCCACCAGGAATATAGTTACAACCGATGAAAGCTTTTTATCTACTGTGGTTACTTGTGATCACCCAACACACTTCATCACAGTAACTGTTGCAGTAATTGTGGGCACACGGTCGAGATAGCTGTCATTTATCCGTTGTGCAGGACATCGTTAACGTTCACTTTCGTTTATCGAGATGGGCCTGCGTCACCTAGATGCTAAATGTGTGAATGGACCATACTGATTTACACTGTCCATTGTTGATAGACTCTAGCTGTTATCAGAATACACTCCGATTAGTAGTGAGAGTTTAGTTTTATGCAGATTTCTACTATCAGACCCAAATCCTCTGACTTTTGCACGTGGGGAATATATTCATTGAAGGGTTTCAGTTTACCTTTAGAGTAGAAACTTGTCAACTTGACAGGCAGCTCACAAAGCGTTATTCAGTTTGTCTAATAGTGAACGTGACTAGCGTATCATTCCACTGGTTGGCCTCAGTATAACTATCCGTTCGAACAGAGGCCAATCACGAAGAATCACCCAGCTGAACTTAATGGGCGGAATGAGTGAACTGACCTAGAGACACCATCTAGCAGCCTTACCGGCAAGTATGTTCCATAACTCTGAATAATGTCATAGCACACCCTAGTGCGTCTGCTTCCAATATACTTCTTATATAAAGCTAGTAATTATCGACCACATCATCATTGACATCATCACTGACAAGCCGTCAGTTTACAAACACCATTTGAGTTACACCGGCGATTCTCTTTCGGGTCCGTGCATTTATGCAATCCGATTGTGGTTGATTACATTGCCTCAAAGCAGAAAAAGCATTCATCGCACCAAGTGTTACTGCAAATATGTTTGGCTACGTTAGACCATAATCAGCTGCCGGCGGTAATATCGGCTCAACCGTCCATATGACTGCGGGAGTGCTCAGAGTCTTTCTAACCAAGCCATAGCGCCCCACAACACAAGACACATAAATTCATAAAAACCTATCCTAACGGCAAATTTTTATGCTACAAATGTTCTATGTTGAGTAGAGGATCACTTCATTTGAGTAAAACTTGGCATCAGGGGTTTTATGCCAAAACTCTGAAGAAACTACCAGAAAACTGGTAAATTCTAGATGTCGTTACAGATGAAGGCTCAAGGAGACATCCGTTTCAATTTATCTACCCAGCGAGGGGTAGATTCAGGTTTCCCAAGGCCGTGATACTTCTCCCCAATTACAATAATCGTCAGTGTGCATGGTGTGGCGTCATCAAACGGCATCCCAGTTTATGGTTCTGCGTTGTGGTGACATTCGGAGGCTTCAGTCATAGTTTTGTTATCTTAGCCGACCTATTCCAGAGGGACCACCAACAGGACAGAACAAACTTCAAAACACATCACCTTATTGTTAAACAATTTGATTTCGGATCACATTGTTTGTATCTCGACCATGACCAACTGTGACTGCTCGCTACCTTGTTATAGTCTTTCACTGGAGGACAATTCCATACGTGGCAAGCTTGACAGTGGATGTTCCAAGCCATCAGTCTGAATCATATATGCCCCCTTATTCATATCTCCTTTCATATTACAACGATTTTCTCTTGTTTCTCAGATATTTTGCGACCATACAGAGTTCCGGCTGCCCATTTAATTAGCTAGTGTAGCTTGTTTTACTTTTCTGTGACCAACTCGCATCAGTTTAAACTCTCCTAGTAAATGGAACACGCTGATATGCACAACTTAGTTGACGTGACTCAAGAGTAACTTTACGCCCTCTAGAATAACCACCATCAAGGAGTCCCACCCGTTAGTAACCAATCTGAGTCAATCCCTCAAAAAATACTTCACTAGTAAACTCCCTACCAAGTGAGTCCGACTTACAGAGAATAGCACTTTCGGTCGTCTCCTTTTGTTATAGGGAAGACGTGCAGTAGCGTCTACTTAAAGGGAAAATCCTTAGAAACCGGTGGATTTTTCAAATGTTCTCGCAAAAAACTTAAGGTTTATTATATATTCCCGTTTGCAGTTAGAACTCAAATGAATTCTTTGGGGGTTGGTGACTGGCCGAGGCGAAGGCCATGTGTTTATGCACTTCTCCAGATAACGCTGATGATTGAAATGGTCGCTATTGTTTCGGCTGTGTACTCAAAACATACCTTCGAGAGATCTGTCACTGTCGTATTGCTCAGTGTACTGCATCATTCACATTACGGGGTGCGATGTCGTCTCGCATATGAAGCGGAGAGCAATGAGCTGAGAATAGCTTTAGATGCTGGTGTAGTGCTGGATGCCAGACCTGCTAGCTACCGCAGTTAGAAACAGAACTGAACCTAACGCGGTCGCGTGTATGACTACGTGACAAACTGACAGTATAAATCATTTGGGAAGAGCAGTGCGGCAAACAGTATTTGACACCGAAAGTTCTGTGCTGACAGCTGGTGTGGATCAGTCGTCACAAAGGACGAACATACAATTCGATCACGGGATAATGAATGTGCCCGGCCAATTCCTCTATGAATAATGCTAAAACCCGACACTATTCTCTTAAAAAGTTTATTTTCCCGCAACATTCGCTTTTATTTTTCATAGTTAAAGTGGAACAATGTGAGTAGATGGTGGTTAGATATCCGTGATGGCGGTTCCACTGACAATGTAGGCTTTCCTTTTAAAGGAGTATAGTAAGAAATGGACGGGATCAACTAAAAACAATCAACCATCATGGTAGGGTAGGTTTACTGGTTGAATGGGCTAGTAATGTGATACAGTGTTTATGGGACAAGATGAACTTGAAGACCCCAAGCATTCCAAAGCGAACAAATTGAGTCTTTGGGACTGGACTTCTGGGTTACTCTGTTAATTGTAGTGCCTGGATGTTCAAAATGTATTAGTCGATGGACGACGTTGTAGCAGTTGACAGAAATATGGCTTCCATTGCCATCGTCAACGTGAACAGAGCCAAGACCGTTTTCTTTACAACCACAAAAATTTTACTTTTTGAAAACCTCAATCCAGGAGGGAAGAAATGATGGGTAAGGAAGCCACATAGTGCCGGCCCACTACAAAACCTATGATAGCCTGCGCGTCAAAAAACTCGCACGCACCCTCGATAAAACCTAGTAGCACGCACACCACTGACGAAGTTTAATGGTTGTATACTACAGTCCAACGGAACAGGAAGTCTCGGGGTTTTAATTCTAGAGACGGATGGCACAAACAGCACAAGAATTATTTCCAATTCTTTTCGAGTCTTCCCACGTTCCTATTAGTATTCCAGCTGATTTTGAGAGGCCAAACGTGTAGTTATCCTCTGCTTAGTCAGGCGAGCCAATATACTGAAAAGGGCACATTAGAGGAATGTAGGTATATTTTATCTCCTCATAAAAATTCTTTCACCAACATATCATCGGCCTGAAAGCTGGAATTATATACAGGTGTTTGTTCAGCAGATATATTCCCTTAAACTGTAGTTCTGTACAAAGTGATGCGTGTCTGCGGAATGGAGAAAGAAATCTAGAGGCGTTCACCTGAGCAGTTCGTGTACCATGTCAGCATAATATATTCTTTGGTTTTTATCCTCAAACCTTTTGATTAGTTTTATTGCCTCTTGCTCTGGGATCGGTTCGCATCCAAACCTGGTCAAAATATCAAACATTTTATCGCTGGATACATAACCACATAGGCGTTTGTCAAACTTTTCAAATGCCTTCCACAACTCCAGCTCCAATTTTGTTATCGGCCCGTACCACAATTCAACCGCGGCTGCAAGAAATAACTCGAGACTAATGAGCCCATTTTTACTGGGATTTATCACTTCCAAGAGTGAAGCAATTTCCGCATTGGATGGAATCAGTTTCAACCAGCGCAGGGCATTTCCAAGTTGGCTGCTACGGATGAATCCTGTATTTCGAGGGTCGAAAAGACGAAATGCTTTCGTAATGTTTGCTACCTCAAACTCGCTTAGGTCACCAAGCTTCATCTTGTATTTGTGCCCTCTCTGAATAGATGGACAATGGAGTGGAGGACCGAGAATCTTCTAACCGCTGTTGTTCAGTTCCACGTCCGCCACACTTTTTGAAATCTGGTGATCGAATTTAATCACCTGATAAGTCGTCTTGCGTGAGCACAGTGAGGATTCTGTCAATAGAAGCGGTTAGATCACCTATTCGTGGTTGTGGAGCTGACAAGTGCCTTCAATTTTGCCTTTACAACTGACTGGACTGTGGTCTCAGTGAAAAATTTTTGAGCCACAAGCAGTGCAGGTGGAGGTATTTGTTTTGAACTTCGGCGTAGTTAACTTTGGGAATTTGATGTTTACAGGTGAATATAGTGCAAATAAAGATCACATTAATATCGTGTAGTTGACATTATATTATCTAGACTTATGGATTATTGGTCGGCTATGTAACAAGTACACACGTACAGATAGCCTTGCCAATTGAACTAATAATCTGTTGTTCCTCGGCGCCAAATAATTACAGTATGATTACATCTAATCGTCCATCTAGCCAGGGCAACTGGTATTCCAGGTGACTGAAGAGATTCGGGGTCAGTATGACATTGTAGCGGTGCTTTAAACTCTACGTGTTTCATTATACTTAAAACTGTTGACTGTTGTTCCATCTGATATTTGGTAAAGAAATGTTTGGATAGTTCGTTTGAGTCTCATTTCCTTGTCCAACTGTACATACTGACTACTATGTTGAGACCGGGGCTGCTTGTTATAACTGTGATTATTGTTTTCATCAGCACGAGAGCAAGCGGTGGTTTTTAGATAGTAACAACCACGCGTGACAAATGGAGTGAGACGAGTAGCCCACAGTCTCTTGGCTGCCGATGTATGAACCAGTGTCCCCTTCTTCGCCTTTTCCGTTGAATAGTAATCAAGTCACCTTCAGTTCGGCGGTAATATTGACAAAGTAGCTTAAAAAATTCCAGCCAGTTTCCATAACACAACTTTTGTAAATTGTCCACCAGGCAAGTTTGGGAACTTTGCACACTCGCTGTGTTCAGGAAGATTTGAAATTTGACAGAAAACCGATAGCGCTCTAATCAGGTGGTCTGTAGATGTCAGCAACAATGCTTTTTGACACGACACTTGGCCAGTTCCTTTAATCTTAACTTCTATGCTTATCAGAGCTGTCTTCAAATATTCAGCCTGGTTGTATGACACTCAGGCAATGGCATTCATCATCATCATCATCACCATCGAAATGACATCAGTGTTCAACAGTGATGCTCCGCTGCCGTACAACCATGATTTATTTGAAATCTGTATTGAAAAGAATAAAGGTATATCATAAACCTTGGTCAGAAAGATATACTAAAGTTGACAGTTTTCCACCAAGAAAACAAATGGAATCTAGACCGTATTCTCAATGGAAGGGCAAAAGAGTCCTGTTTTCAAAGCGAAGCTAAATCTGAATTCTAGTCGATTCCAAGCATGCTTCGTGAAAATGATACCCGTGTGGTCTCACTTTGGGGCATATGGTGGCCACAACTGAGAAAACCAAACAGTTCACGCTAGTAGAGATACTCCTAGTTCTTTAAAGGAGATCTGACTACAGACGGTCTGACTCGAATCTACAAAACACAGCGGGAGACTGTAATGGCCGCTTCGCCGAAAGTATGTGTGCAACTGCGCACCGAACGTTCCTGCTTCTCACAGAGAAGCTGATGTTCAAACCAGTCCTTCAGGTTCTGTTGCGTAGAAAAATACATCGGGCATGTTATACAGCATTTAATCAAGAGAAGTGAGGAGTTGAAAACCGGATTGAGGAAGTCTACGGCAAACGCACTAGCTGTTCATTAAGCTGATACAGGTCGTTCGATTAACTTCAATGCAAACGGCATTCAACCTACCCGGATCCGTTCAGAATCAGTTTCTCACCATAGCTCAAACAATCGGATGTCACCCTAGCTTGAGCACTCATGAATCGTTCTACGCTTACTAAAACCTTCAACAGCCCTGAACATTGGGGCCAACTTACGATGACAGTTTTTATGCCATTACCCACAAGCTTCGGTTTATCCGAAATGTCGGCCATTTCTAAAGTCGTAGCTTGTCAATCTGTGTTGATTAGCAGCAGACATCACGAAAAGACACTGACCATAGTCAGCTTCTGATTTGAAATCGAGGCAGCGGCCGATTAACTGCAGATGCTATGTTTCATACGTCGCAGACGCCACTAACAACCTGCAAAATTAAGGTGAACTATCAGCGATATCTTGGATTATGGCTTGCACGGCAAGTTTAGAGCTTAACAGTGAATTCACACATAAGCAACACGATTCCCTTATGTGCAACCATGGACTTTCTGTCCCATTTTTCATGAGGTTGTATAGGTTCCGTATGTACGAGACCTGGACATGTAAACAGGTTGGCCCAGAGCATCCACTGGTTGGAAACCCAATCGAGTCGGAACGAATTCCTATACGTCGTTGTGCCATCATTCCAATGCAGAAAATAACACTGTTGATAACATCACCATCGATGGACTATTAAATGGACTATTAGAGGGCCATCCACCTGGAAAAATAAGCGTCGTTTAATCCGTGTGTTGGGGCTGTGTTCAGTAGTTTTTTAAGCTGGTCTTGTCCAGTTATGGGTTCCGGCTTTTTATCGACTTTCACTTCAAAGAAGTGTGAACACGTGTTGTGTCATGTCGTTTAATCCGTGTGTTGGGGCTGTGTCCATTAGCTTTTCAAGCTGGTCTTATCCAGTTATGGGTTCTGGCCTTTTTATCGACTTTCATTTCAAAGAAGTGTGAACACGTGTTGTGTCACTAACAGGCAATGGAACCAATAAATTGTTTGAACACCACCCTCATCCACAACTATAAACCACATACGAGTGGTAAATAGTCCTCATCCACAATTTCGTTTTCGTCCTACTTTACTGAAATTTCGTGAAACTCTTGGACAGATTGTGGTACGAAAAACTAGAACGATAAGCCCGTCAATCTTATCTCTGAGACAAAGTTAGTCATCTATTCACTGTTTTTACTTATGCCGACATACCCTTGTTAGTCAGTCTTCTAATGTTGGTTGGGCAATAACTTAAAAAGCGAAACAAACTGGAGAACCATTGCAGAACCATTTTCTGTAACTAGCCACGCATTAACTAGCGCTATTCTGAAAATGGAGTCAAAGTGCGGTGTTCTCATTTTTATTCTTCCAAAATGTGCTTATAAAACCAGGATAAACTCACAGAAATAGTAAGCATTTTTCTATTTAAAACTTATGGGTAGCTTCGTATTGGCAATATTACTTAGAGGGAATGACCCCAGGAGACCTTCTTGACGGAATGTACGGTGTGAATTAGGCCGGACTGATGTTTCAAAAAACGGGACGAAGAAATTTTGAATAAAATGACGCTACTCTGGCTAGCTACACACACTAACTTTACCGATCGGAAACACCACCCGAGTTATCACAACACTAGGTAACCCGAACATCCATCTCCAGGAACCCAAAAAGAGGCCAAAGATAAAGCAAAAGACGAGCTTCCTGTTCGACTGGTGCCTTCGAATATCAGAGCCCAGTCATTTTGTGTTCCCTTTCCAAACCGAATTATTAATTACGGAAAAAAGGAACCGGAAAGGAAAATCCACAACCATGTTGACCAAAATTTTCACGTTGACAGCTTGCCATAACCTGAGATGCACAAAACGGCTTCAGACGAGATGGACGAACCTCCATATCGTTTTGTTATCTTCCAACGTTCTAAAGTCCAACTGTTGGTGGTAAACTCAACGTTTAACCCCATTAATCCCCGTGAGTGTACTGATATACGCAAAACAGTACCCATTTCGAAGTCGAACTAGAACCCCCATGGGGTTTGCACAAATTGAGTCAACACCATCACTATGGAAACGCAGGTCTACAGGGTCCCTATGCTACGGGTAACTAGAGTGAGTCATACAAAGCGTACGCACTTGCCGTCTTTCGCGCACACCATCTATATAGAACACTCACAAATGCATCCGTTTCTCAAGTAAATGACCATGATTTGGTAAACATGACCGATCATCCGATCGCCGAAGTGTTTTCCCCTGATAACTAACAGGCAATGGAACCAATAAATTGTTTGAACACCACCCTCATCCACAACTATAAACCACATACGAGTGGTAAATAGTCCTCATCCACAATTTCGTTTTCGTCCTACTTTACTGAAATTTCGTGAAACTCTTGGACAGATTGTGGTGCGAAAAACTAGAACGATAAGCCCGTCAATCTTATCTCTGAGACAAAGTTAGTCATCTATTCACTGTTTTTACTTATGCCGACATACCCTTGTTAGTCAGTCTTCTAATGTTGGTTGGGCAATAACTTAAAAAGCGAAACAAACTGGAGAACCATTGCAGAACCATTTTCTGTAACTAGCCACGCATTAACTAGCGCTATTCTGAAAATCGAGTCAAACTGCGGTGTTCTCATTTTTATTCTTCCAAAATGTGCTTATAAAACCAGGATAAACTCACAGAAATAGTAAGCATTTTTCTATTTAAAACTTATGGGTAGCTTCGTATTGGCAATATTACTTAGAGGGAATGACCCCAGGAGACCTTCTTGACGGAATGTACGGTGTGAATTAGGCCGGACTGATGTTTCAAAAAACGGGACGAAGAAATTTTGAATAAAATGACGCTACTCTGGCTAGCTACACATACTAACTTTACCGATCGGAAACACCACCCGAGTTATCACAACACTAGGTAACCCGAACATCCATCTCCAGGAACCCAAAAAGAGGCCAAAGATAAAGCAAAAGACGAGCTTCCTGTTCGACTGGTGCCTTCGAATATCAGAGCCCAGTCATTTTGTGTTCCCTTTCCAAACCGAATTATTAATTACGGAAAAAAGGAACCGGAAAGGAAAATCCACAACCATGTTGACCAAAATTTTCACGTTGACAGCTTGCCATAACCTGAGATGCACAAAACGGCTTCAGACGAGATGGACGAACCTCCATATCGTTTTGTTATCTTCCAACGTTCTAAAGTCCAACTGTTGGTGGTAAACTCAACGTTTAACCCCATTAATCCCCGTGAGTGTACTGATATACGCAAAACAGTACCCATTTCGAAGTCGAACTAGAACCCCCATGGGGTTTGCACAAATTGAGTCAACACCATCACTATGGAAACGCAGGTCTACAGGTTCCCTATGCTACGGGTAACTAGAGTGAGTCATACAAAGCGTACGCACTTGCCGTCTTTCGCGCACACCATCTATATAGAACACTCACAAATGCATCCGTTTCTCAAGTAAATGACCATGATTTGGTAAACATGACCGATCATCCGATCGCCGAAGTGTTTTCCCCTGATAGTTTGTGCATCGCCCGATTCAGAAACCTTGAGGCTCTTTTACTGTCCCTGCTATAGAGGCTTTATCAGCCTGGGAATAAGTGGCTTCAAACCAGATAATGCAGGGGAAAAATAAAAGATGTGATGAAAAGGCATTTCTTAGAATATAACATATTTATTTATCTGTGAACAGGAGAATTAGGACCCCCGTTTTCAAGTTAAATACAAACTGGCTGCCATAGAGGGCTGTGTCCTGTGAAGGCAAGGTTCAGATTTGGAATATGCTTGGTTGGCTTGGTAATTAACAGTTATGGAGTAAATTATATTGCACACAATAAACTGTTGGAACTTTCCGAGTTTTCGTGTTCTCATCAGAAATGCATGGCTGCGCATGGGGGCGGTTCATTTCCGACCTTGACACTTCTTCAATCAAGACCAATGGATTCTGACACGCGAGGAAGAACTCTCCATAGATCCTTAAAAAAGATAGTCTTTTTACAATTTTGGCACTCTGGTTGGATATTTGGTAGATTGAGCGGTCATTTTTGCGCGTCGGTATTATGAAGAAAATCGATGGATGAAGAGTATTATCAGACTTTGAACGGTCCATAAATTCGGGTCAAGTTTCAAAGTAGCCTTGGCAGTTGATTTACCTTCAAAAATTAAAAAAACGGAGTAATTTCACTTGTTACAGTGGAAACATATACATAATCCAGCTTGAGATAATGACTAACTAAATTGGAAACAGAAGCCATTCGATCGCCACGACTATGTCTCACAATCCAAGCGAAACTGCCATTATAACCAAAGGTACCTCTAATAGTATCAGAACATAAAGTTTCCATCATCATCATTGTCAGCTGTAATAACCGCGTACTCGTCGTACAGTGGTTGTAGCTGCCACAGTTTCGTTCACCGATGATTTGGGGGGAGGGGTAGGTAACATTGAGTTTTAATGTTCAAGCACTATAACCATACAGCTGTGAAGCCGGATTTTGGATGTGATTAGCAAAAGATAGGTCCTCAAATGGCGTATCATCACCGCAGTATGGTACTGGTCGACGTGCTTCAAAATGAACCGTACACAACCCATAAATTTTTCTTGCGGTTGATGAGTGGAACTTCTCTAACTTCCGATAGATTTTATCTTCATTCTATACCCAACAAGCGCAATATTTAACATGCATATAAACCAAAAATAAAATAAATAATCGATAAATTCTGACAATCACAATTGGTCCAATAGGTTACAAAAAGAGTACATTCGTCAACAGACTTTACTGATCAACCTCCCAATTTTACATACAGACCGCGTTAGCCTGCTGAATGTGTTAAGCCTCTCTATTTAAGTTTCTCTCGGTATAACTCACTTTAAGTCTCTCAGCAAGTATGCACAGTAGAGATTCAGGAACACATTGACTCACACCAAAATTACTGGACAAGCGTACAAGACTTGATCGTAAACGGGAGGTATTGGTATCGCCAAATTCGTTATTTAGCATGAATGTAGAACTTATTCACTACGGGCTCACATTTCATCCCTCCATTTCTAACACAAGAAGAGATGCTGGATGAGTTATATGATATAACTGATTTTTCACACTGGCCCCACTATTTAGGTGACTTAGTGATGAGGAGCTTCCATTAAAGAGCAGTTGTTTTCTCCATTCTTAACCACTCCGTCTGAGGAAATGGTTGTTTCAGTTGCTTGTGATTCTAGCATGTTAGTTTTACACTCAAGTATCACAGCATTCATTCATCCCCCGATTATTTGTTTGCCTACCTAAACTGTGAGCATGTGTCCCAGGCCGGTTCGTTTGGGGAGTAACAAAATACAGTACAGCTGGCGAACTCTCCCGCTCGTAGCCTTGATGGTCCAGGGCACTAAGGGTTTGGACTCGGACAATGTAGAGGGTCTTTTCTTTCAAGTTGGGTAGATCAATCCACGTTTGGTTCTACAACATTAAGGAAAGAAAGATGAGTCGGTTACTTCCGATCCGTACATTACCAGAGGCATTTCCGTGGGCAGACTTGTCAGAAAAAATACTCTGTCATTATGAAAACGTAATATATAAGGTCTAATGGTCTATAGAACGAGGAAATAAACGGACCATCTAAGCGATATGAAAATTAAGATTGAGGAATGAATGCCTGAATAGCCATTCTTGGTTCTCCAAAGTAGTTCTAACATGTTATCAGAAACTATTTTTGATCGGCATCCTTGTGGTTAGACTTTTTCCAGGGGATGCTTAGAGCCTCACTGGTTTCCAGGTTTGGTTAGAGGTGGCTGATTTGTTAAGGCGCGAGTTTAGTGCACTAAAGATTCGTGGTTCAAGCTCGGCCTCTGTATCTCAACTGCACCTGTCTGTGCTTGGGTAACCAGACAGTATCTCAATCTTCATGTTCCTTCGGGTGGCACGGCAGCTACACACGGAAATGGGTTTACAGCTAAACCATTATTTATATTTTATTATTACAAGGGCCCACCAGAACAATTAACACGAGGTTATATCATACTGTCTCAAAAGTTAGATCGTTTGTCCTTGTATACTTTATTCCAATGCACTATTTATCCCTGACGTATTTTTCTCCAGCCCATCTAACACATCTTCTATAGGTTCTTCATTGTAAATGAGGCAGGCTGCTAGGTGCACTCATCACTCAGCAACAAAACTCTCAGTAATCTGAAAAAGCTGTGATTAACCCCTCCATCTGCTCTCACTTCCATGACAATTTGGTTCTATCAAGAGACTCAAATGAATCTCTCATTTATGATATGCTTCAAGTGGTTGCGCTGTACAAAGGCCGCCTGGTGTTTCAGTTGGTACGATATTCAACATATAGCATTAAATTGTCCTTACGCAACACACCACTCATGAGGTTGTTGAAAACTCTTCGACAGCTCACTTCGGAAACTCGGGAACCCGCACCGTAACCGTTCGCGGGCTGTCAGAGGGTTTTCATCAACCTACTATAAACCTGAGGTGGCACTGAAACGAGCAGTATTGCCAATAATAAATCTATACACGAACACAAGGATCAACAAGATTATGTGTGGTTTTGGCTTGGCTAAGTTAAATCCTAGAAAGCCCGCCTCCTCTATTTGCCCATGTGTTTGCCAAATGACCGACGTTTGTCGTAGTGCGCTTTATTCCAATTAAAGTTTTCAAAGCCGTTCTCAACTGAACCATTTTGACGCTTCATTTGACTTGGAAAAACCATTATTCGCACTCAAAACCACAATTCATATCATTTTTGTGAGATCGCGGTCGCTGATCGCCAACGACTGCGATTAGCCATCATTTCTCCCAACTGCACCAAACTATAGACTATCCCGGTTGACTATGCCATCTCTAACTGACATGGCAGGAGAGAGCGAGAGCAATTTAAGGTATGCATTCAGAATGACGTCTAGCGTCACAACAACGTGCAGCAAATCATGTGATGGAATGCGCTCGGTTTCACCGGTGGTTGATGACGGTATGGTAAGAGGTGGCGTCGGAAAAAATGTCTACCCAAGCCTCTGGGAGACGGAGGACAAGGATGCCGTTACTTTGAGTGACAAGATACCGAGTGTATATCCAACAAAGTGTGAATCACTCCTCTTCCGTTTCGTCCTTTCTGCCTCATGTTTCATCGGCAATGTTCAGCCCAACCGCACAAAGTTTGTTTTGTATCAATTTCGCCACTTTCTGGGATACCGAGTGTATATCCAACAAACTGTGAATCACTCCTCTTCCGTTTCGTTCTTTCTGCCTCATATTCCATCGATAATGTTCAGCTCAACAGCACAATGTTTGTTTTGTATCAATTTCGCCACTTTCTTGTCAAGGATAAACATCAGATGTTGTGTATGATGACGTGGTGTTAAACTAATCACAGATCGCAGACAAACTGGTCGTGAATTAAATCTTAGCATCATTAAAAAGAAGCAGTCGTAATAGCGTTGCTTCACAACTTCAATAGCTTCGGATTCACATTGATTGTAAGGCTTATTCACTTAACAAGCCAGGGAAGGGATCTATGAATAGATTAAGACACAGAAAAGGGACACAATGCACCAATGAAGATTTCATTATGGGAAACCTAGGGTTTGTGTCCGGCTTGTTGAAAATCGGCGAAAACCTATTTACCTTATGCACGATGCGTACATCTGATTGCTGGAGATCCATAATCGGACTGAATCCAACTTCGTCATTGTACATTTCTCTGATGACCGGCTCTTCGACTCGTGGAGCCCAGAGAACGCGATATTTAGTGACCGAAGGAAGTGGGGCTGATCTAACTTGTTGCCTCCTGACGAGCCTATTCTGATGTTCTGCAAAGATCGGTGGCTTCCATGTTATCCGATAACGCATGTCTTCCACTCGTACCGCCCGAAGATTCAGAGGAGGTGGTGGAGGGCCTGGATCTGCGAGATGAAACGATAACATCATGTGTGACATCAAACCCGGGTTAAGATCAAGTAAGAACTATTTTGCACTAAGCTACAACCTGCGGTATCCGCAGGGTTGGTAAATTACCTGGGAGGCTGCAGTTTTTAGGTGAATCCCCACGACTGATTTCAACATCCAGGCAAGATGGCGTGCAAAAGCAGTTTTGTGCTGTGTAGGGATGACCATCCCGAGGTTGACTGTCCCCATCGTGTACTGGTGGCCAGAGGAGCTCATCTTTGGACGATAATTCATGAGTAAGCTGCCTGAGTTGAACCATGTAGCGACAGTTAAATCGGAGGTCCTTTAGGAAGACGACGCGCTTCTGAAAGAAGGCAAGACTTTTACTAGCAGTCAGCATGTGTGAATGGTGACAGCCAATAAATATACACTTCTAGTTAGTATAGGCCCCATTTGATTTAGCGCACTTCGATAACGATAGCTCCTCCAAAGTTTCCAAGCAACTATTAAAAAGTACAGCTAAAGCTGTTTTTTAATTATGTCAAGATTCATTTTCCATTCTGGCTAGGGTTAACTAAGCTTAGCACAATCCAGTCAGCGATCAATGATTCGAAGATGAAGGTCGTATGAAACTCGGACAGAATCTTTAGATCGAAGACAATGGGTGTAAGCTAATAGAAAAGTCTCCAAGAAATAAAATATTTTCTTGTCTGAAAGTTGTCCCAAAGCAAAACTGGCTACAAAGCTGAGAACACTTCTGTTTGGCTTTCAAGGGACCAGATTTAAGCCATTTGTATCGTTAGAAAGACATTTTCCTTCCAAAGATTGAACAGAATAAAAAGTTCACGAAACTGGCTTTCTTATATTTATTTACCGAGTAAGGTTCCCACTAGCTGGATAACCAAGTTTACTCTGGAGGTTATTAGTGGCCTGATACCACAATGTCGTCTGCACTTAAATGGACCGAACAAAAGTGGCCACCTGAGTGAATCCAAACGTTTATAGGTGATCCTTGAGAAATGGCTTCTCTCGTTATTGAGAGATCTTGGTTCGGGAGAACGATTAGGGTTTCGGGCGTCTTCTGAGTGGGACCTCAAGCGCATCTGTGCGCTGCATTTCAAAGCCGTTTGTAATGCCGAAATCGCCCATACACTACGCCTTTTTCCTAACAAGAAGCCGAAAATATAGTCCCATCGGGAACTCAATAGACTTCAGGTTGGGAACAGACGCAACCTTATAACAGTACCAAGTCTCAGAAATCTAAATGCTCCCCAAAACAAAATAGAGTCGTATAGGACTCACGGATATTGATTATCTACAGAGTACAAATTAATATACCTGAATGATCCAACATCTCACCATAGTGGACACTCACAGCGAAGATATTTTCTTTCGGTGGTAAATTAACAAGTCCTGAGGTCGAAATCACCTACACCAGACTGACTAAAATGTACCGATCATGAAGTATTTTCAGCAGCGCGCGTGATGGAAAGTGCACTTAAGATACCGAACGACCTTGCAAATCCGTAAGACGGTACTTTTACTAGTGCATAAAAAGGGTTAGTTGGCAGTTGCAAACGAGTGTGTCCTTCATGCTGCCTAGAACAACAGCTGGGTAAATTGAAATAAGTTTATGTGGAACACGTATCTCAATAGTGTAATAAATGACCCTAACCGAGAGAAGTATGACAAGCAATGACTTGTTTTTGTCGCTGCTTTATCCAGTTAACAAACTTCAGTATTTTAGCTCAGTAGTGCAGTGGTATGTTAGGCTGTGATCTAACACCAAGTAGTATCGAACAGCCTAAAACACACCATGTCCAGAGGAACCTATTAATGTAACGGAATAGTATGACAGAAGTGCTATTGAAAGCGGCCGTAGACTTTTTGGTGACAGTCCATTAGCAAATTTAGACCAGTGGCGATGGGATTTTGTTTCCATTTGTTTCCTTCTGTGGAGAGACCAGTTAGCCAACTGATTTTTTTTATTTTCTATGTTGAATAAACGCCATAACTGGAATGGTCCCACGTCTAAAATCACCTGCGCAAACATTTTGCATTCTCTTGTGGGTTCATTCATAGTACAAGAGGTCCTAGACAAATGGCACTAGATTCTTAACTGTCACAATTCACGGCTGGTCATTTAAGGTCCATGTAAGCTCGGTACTCCTGTGGGAAGGAGACACGTTTCCAGCCGATATGCGAGGACCATGCCGCATGTTTCAGGTTAACGCCATCACTAAAGCGCTACGGCAGGTTGAGTGCATATGAAACCAGCAAACGTTTTGTCTCAAAAGAGCTTATACATACCGTTCCCTGAACCTTGAGGGATTTCTGTGAAAGGACGGCGGTGTTCTCCTTGGCGTTGATGCATACTTGAGGTGACCAGTTCAGCTGATAAGTGCTTGCAGGGGTGGCTGAAAAGAACATTGAGGGTGTAAAATAACACTTTGCTGTTGTTTAAAAGAATGATGAAATATTTTATGAACAGTATGATTGACTTGGTAAGAGTCCGTGTATGAGATGGACTGAGTTGGAAAGAGTCGAACATAAGACCATTCTTGGGACTCAAACAGTGGCTGGTTTTCAAGACCTAGCTCTCCTGGAACGACCACCGCCAGAGCGCACTCGCTCGCTATTTTCACTCACAGCGCCATTCTTTTTGTTGTAGCCCGCGATCGCTAATTTACATAATGGTTACTGTGAATTTGTTGCTATCCTGTTTGGGGGTCCCATTTCTGAAAAATACTGTCCAGTTGTAGATCAACAGCCACTTAAGCTAGAACGAACTAATACACTCGAGCTACCAATAGTTCGATGTATTGCCAAAATGTTTTCCCACAGATTTATTGCACTTACAAACAAAAACCCTCAAACTTGAATAATCTTCTAAAGACCAAGCTAGAACAACACTTTGTTTATTTTGAGAATGGATGATTTGTGACAGAAATGGCCACACCATACTAGAACCTGATGGAGATCATACGGAGCTCCTGACCCTGGAAATACTTAATAGCGTGCCTGGTCAAGTGAAAGTTCACCTGTACAAACGGTTAGGAATGCACCCCGAAGTGAATCCAGTGTTATCTTTTATGTCTCTACCGGGCAGTCAACCGTGGCTCAGTTCATTTCACTTACTTTTGTATGCCGCATGCTTCTCTATGTACAGCATTGAAGGAGCGATTGTGAAACAAACTTTACTCCTATGCTCTCACCTCACATGAGATGATACCAAAAGACATGACAACACCTTTACACCGTAAGTGAATGACAATGGGTGAACTATTATTGGTCATGCCTTTGGGGTAAACAACTAAGGATGTGGTATGCACCTCAGTCCTGAGCCGATGTATGGGGACTTGCACTCATGCCTCACCGTTGAATGTTCTGCACGAAGGTGTACCAAAGATCCTGGATGATTGAGCTTCAATCAACAAACGTAATAAATGACTTATGATTGTCATTATCCGGATGGTTCTGAGCTCTCGGGTACATTTTATCGCTTTGTGACATGTGTGACATGTAATGTTGAAAGGGTCAATTCGAAGGAATGCTCCATCGTTCTTTATAGTCATCCATGAAAATATCTGAACCTTTCTTGTTGTTACGCTCTCACGATTGACCCACCTAACCTCTGAAGAACATAGTCTTATAGAACCTCCCATATTTCACTTTCAAGCATTTGTCTCAAATTCACCGATTAAGAACCATCTCCGGTTGGTATATTACTTACGTGGAGTAAAGGCAAATGCGGCGATTAATTCACCACTGTCGTAGAAAACTTTCTTCAATTGAAGCGGTACTCCCAGTGCAGACTTGGTCCCACATTCACAAGCGACACTCTCTTCTCGAGTATCGTCCTTTGGCTGTGTGTGAAGCACTATAACAAATGAATAAATATGTATACATATATAACCGGGATACCCGGACTCATCTGTGTAAACTGAGGTACAATTGCATAGGAGTGATACTGATGAACTCACTGAAACACTAACAGATTCACGAATTTGGGAAATGACAAAATAAATTGCAGATAAGCAAATGGATATAGTACTAATTTTACATGATCCTACCGTTCATCTGCGCGCAGGTCATAGTGGGAAGTAAGATTTATGTGAATTCGGAGTCCAGACTAATTTGATGAGCAGCAAAATGAGCGAAACTACTAGAGAGCTTTTATGGACCTTATATGTGATAGTATAACAAAGACTGGCTGTTCATCCGTTTGCCAAGCTCGCGGTAGAAGATCAACAGCCACCTAATTCACTACAGGTTAGCGCACCACATCTATCAATATTACTACATAATGCCGGCATAACAATGAACAGCAATCCAACTGGAACATGACACAACCTTTGTGCAGAGTATTCGGTCGAAGAATACCATAAACGAAAGTTGCAAACAGGTGTTCAGTAGTAGCACAGGTGAACAAGTTTATTTGAACGGTGAACAGAGTCAAGCTTCTCACCACCTCACGCGTCTTCTCGAAAACCGCGAACGAAACAGTCACACCGAACTTGTCCAGAATTACTACCAACTTGCAGTAGTTTCCTCATCAAAAAGTGCACTTTGTGCTGATGTCATTGACAAAAATGGGAGGATGGGATAAACTTTTCGTGTCCCGTTGAAAACTCCAACACGACTCAAAATATGGCAAGAGATGGTGCGAGGAGTAGGCCTCACGTTCAGAGAGCATCGCACGTTGATTAGCCATACATAGAAGTGTCAATAAATCGATGAAGTAGAGACCCCCTGCAAGCCAAAGAAATCCCCGCTGTCGGTCGTCGCAATATGAAAATGGGGTCAGAGTACCATCCGTATAATCGGAATCCAACCTGATGTTCTCGAAATCGATCCACGTGATGAGGTCTGAAGTGACAATATTAGTGAACCTGGTGACCGTGCTACGACCAAGACACGGCCTGTACTCTTGTGGCTGAACCACATTTATTCGTCGAACACAGATATAGTGCACCAGGTGAACACGATAATCACCGTATAAAGGATTCTAACCTCATCCAATGATAACGCCGTACCAGAGCGGCACCGATTTTCTCCAGACTGCAGCACGGAATCAGCTGATTAAAGACGAAAGTATTCGTACAATTATCACAATTTTTATGATGCGACACCGTTTTTGATCGAGCTATTTGTACAAACCCGTTCTCTTACCGTTTTGCTCATTGAATGAAGCAAGAAATTCCGTATTTTGCACGCGCCCTATCGGTGCGATTGTGTCAGTGCCAAAAAGGCTGTCATGACAACGATAGAATGAATTCGTTGTGGTACACTATGGCCTTTTGTTACTCAGCCCTATTTGGGCGAAAGATGTGTGAAAATAACTTTCGAAATTACTTGCCGTGTTACTCGAGGATGAATACGCTCAATATGTCACAGCAACCACACAAGTGGACTGATTGGTATGAAATTTGTGAAGTGCAGCCCACGCCTCAATGAGAAAATATTCTAATAAGTCGACAGCTTATCTGCCAGAAGGGCTATTACAAGTGCACGTGTAAAAGAAGCAAGAAAACCTGCAAGAAACCATGGATTCTATTAGTGTCCGGCTTGTCAAAAATTGTATCAAACTGCATCCGATTCACAAGATTCACTTACGTTCATTTGAATGCCGCACCATTGTTGACTGTTGATGATAAGCTGGCATGACTGATTGTGTGAATAGGAATATTGTGTTCGGTTGAGATTCCAGCGGACCGTAACCATGCCAGTAAGAAATCGCTCGGACCTGGAAGCAAATTTTGTGGAATTTGATGGGCCTGTGAATACGTGCGTAGTTCCTCACTCTTCACCTGCTACTCACAAGGAACTATGCGTGGCTGACTAACAGCCGCATATAGTTGAAGAAAATCATGAAAAATGACATCCATTCAAAGCTTGCTGGACAGTTGCATTCATACAAATGAGAAATGAATACACCGTGATTACCCCTGGTTTCGCATCCTGAAAAGCGCTGTCGACTGTACCCTGAGAGCTCATTTGGTGACCACTGGACGCAGATGAGATTTTGAAGACCCTAGCTCTACCAAACAGTGAGATTAGCCTATGCATCAGGTTCGATAGGACTCTGTTTACCCACTTTCAGATGATTGCTCCACAGCTTTTCAATTCATCAGAACTGAGCACATCCCTCATCCTTTATGTACTACTTACATTTGTGGCTCCTGCTAGCCTCCTTATGCAGTTCAGGAAAGGCTGTGGCAAGTTGACAGCAAGACAATTCTGAAACCTGGAAGTACTCACTTGAACCTTGTAGGCTGTAGACGGTCGCAACTCCTGGAGTACATACTGCGTCTGCTCCTGTAATCGGGATATAGAAATGTGACTTTTTACTATGAAGGAAATTCTATGCTGCCAAGTAAATAAACAAAAAAATAAATGCAAGGACAAGTGCGCGCATGAGTGACAAGTGGAACTGGCCCAGCTGAAACATGGTTGCTTCATGCACTCAGATTATGGGCCTGAGTTTGCAGTGAGGAACTCCTAACTAACCTCCACACGATCGATCTACTGAGACACACTTCGATGACACAAGATATTGCGTTGCTGTCTGGCCCAAACCCGAATGTATCATTCCGAAATAATATCCGGTTAAAATGTACGCCAATGACCTGAACTTCTCTGTCAGGATAGGTGACTGAGTTATCCAAACATTGTTAAGAAGCCGTTCATTTTTTAGCTGGCAGTTTATACATCAATATTGGATTTCGAGCTTGTGGCAGCAATCTTGTATGAACGAGTAACTGCATATGAGAACGCTTTCCAAAGTCGTTTCCGACATAAAAATAAGTTATCTTTTGGTTCTGGGGGCACCTAACTGACCCAAACAAGCAGCACAAGACGATAATGTGAGGCAAACGTATCATATAACCAGGAGAATGTCATCCGATTGTGGTTCTATCCGTCATAAGGGGAAGGGTTCTCTCTGCCAAACACATCTTCAATGTGTAAAAGTTTGTCTCCTTCGCATATCCATAGCACCGATGCATATTAAATCTATAAAGTTTTTTACGGTTTACAACATCATCAGTTATTGTGTTTACTTGATGTTGGCCACGGCGCATCCATCCACTTGCAGATGGAATGACTGACTAATCAGAATAACAGAAAAAAAGATTTTCACAACTCTTCAAGAGTCGCAAATACTTCCTAATCAGTAAGATTTTCATAGTTCTGCTCTGTGTCCAAACATTACGGTAACGAGCGCTAAGTTATCTATGACATTTTGGAAATTTCGCAATTTTTACGCGTAAGTAGTGACACATTGAGTGGGATGATAAATGGTCGAAAAAATATTTAGCCTGATCAAAGTAATCAGTTAGTATTAAGCTTCTTTTGGTGATGTTCAAAACAGTGCAAGCAAACCAAAAATTTCGTTTGCACAGCCCTTCGACACATGGCTTTCACTCGACTCGAATCACGCGAATTAATATTTTCCAAGTTTTGGTGGAGATTTCATCCTGTAAGTGAGGTTGATCTATGCTGAAAAGCCGAGAATCTCGGTGCCTTACTTACAGGAGGAAATATCCATTAAAATTCCCACATCTGCGCACACTATCAACATTTTGCAAAATTGCTCACGCCCGGGAAGGCACAGCCACCCAGTGAACATGGACCAGAATTGCACCCTTCACAACCAACACCGTATTTTAAAACTCCGTCCCCATTACACTAGCCTTCTCAACGGGAAACAGCTGTCACGCAATAACGAAACCATGCTCTTCTCGGGCTGCGTTTCTCTCTGAGGGTGGTAGTCAGAACAAGTTCTGTCATGAACTATCCATGCGTTCTCATTCATAGCGTAATTGGCCGCCGTGTATTAAAATAAAAAGACCGTCTGACAGATTAGAGGTTAAAAATGTACATAATGTTTCACTTAACAACCTCTCAGCTATTGTCATACCATGAATGGTCCCTCTTAACAACACACGTTTCTTGAGTTCTCGTTGGCATTTTACTGTTTCATCGTAGATGAAGTTTTTTACGGTAAACGGATGACAATATGCTAGTGTATTTATGGGCTCTATCAAAGGTACAGTTCTTTTAAAAAATTGGCGTTCAGTGTTAGGCGGAAGCTCTGCAGTAAGAACTACACTGTAGGCAGTGGGTCAACTGAGGAAACAAACATAAATCAGCGCAGTTTGTCCTTGAAATACCCGAAGAATAAAAAAATGGACTTACCGCTGGAACTGTGTGGGTGAATTTTGTCAAACCTTCCAGAGACTGGCCTCCTGGTTGAACGTACCCGTGGTCGATAACCCAGTCAATCTGTCAAAATGCAGATCGGACAAAAAATCAATGTTTAGTTGCGCAGTCGTCCAGGTTCTGTCTAATAGACTATATAAATTTAAGCTATCATGCGATGTGATTCTTACGTTTGAGTAAAAGACTCACCAGGTACTCGGTCACCGTTAGTTCACTGTGATCTGGCGGTGCCCAATTGAGTAGTACATGAATGTTACCATTGGAATAGAAGCGCCACATCGAATCGGTGAGATTTCTCGGCGGGCTCGGTGGGTTTGGAGGTACTGGGTCTGTTGGATATGGTTGAGAAGGCGGTCCAAATCCTCTTGTTCCATGAGGACTAACTGCAGCAATTCGAAATTGATACATTTTACCCGGTTCGAATGCGTCCAGCTTGGCGCCAAACTCATGTGTCTGGTGTGAGGGGAAACAGTGCGCGATATCATTTTCAAAGACGAAGCGTACTAAGATACTAAGACATGGGACTTGAAAACAATGCGGTTATTATCTTCACCCATACAATAGATATAATTTTGGTCCATCACTGAATCGACATACTGGACAATAGGTCGTATCTAAATTATAAAAACTTGGGTAACTAAATGGCAGGTTTCCAGAAAGGAATTTCCATTCGGAAGTGACTGAATTACTCACTGTGTGCTTAGTGAGTTTGTCATATGAGTCTTGAACAGAGCAAGACAGTAGCTACTCACCATCCCTTGGTGTGGAACTAAGGTCCCGAGGCCGAACATAGACTGGCTTGGCAGTTCTGCGGTCGACACGGTCCACTTCTGCAGCTCAGCGGGTGGGGTATGTCAGTTGCAGTCAAACGAACTAGCATACACCACAGACCGACTTATTATGAGCAGCAGGCCCCGAAGGTAAACACATGTTTGGAAGACGCTATTCAATGAGTAGAGATGGTACGTAACGGACGGGCCAATGAGCATTTTGTTGAAAGTTCTCGGCTAATTCTATCTCATCCGCCTTCCAGATGATTCGAATATGCGCATATCAATTGCGGTTGACTGAGCAGCAGTATGACACTACTCATCGTTCCATCATCCGGTACTGACGGTTTTATGGAGCAACTCTTGTTCGTTTGCATTTGAGTACCATGCTCGACATACATAATCTGTACAGTGAAAAAGAGATCTACAGTTGGTTTCCAAAGGCACGCCACTACGAGATGATCTAGTTGAGTTGCTCTTTCACAGCGTTTTTCGTAGGTGCACTGTACCGCCTTTTCTTTTGACGACACAACGAAGTTTGTGTATCAGACTCACAAGTAAATCTGTCATGCTAAATACTGCAAGCTACCATTGAGGAAGTGTGCATTGTACCAAATGATTTAACTGGCAATTTGTCAGGCCACCACACTTTTTCCCAAATTAGCAAGCTTCACGCATTCCGTACAACATATGACCAGAGGCTAATACCACACTTGAAGTTAAGTGATTCCAAAAAACTGTTTCAATACAAATGGTGATTAATATTCATTCACACATCTCATAGTGTGTGCCGTAATAAAGATGTAATAATTTTGCTTTGAAAGAAAAACGATCCAAATTTTGCATGGGCATTCATTTGGAGAATCCTTCACTGGAAAAGACAGCTGAATCTGAACCACGTGACAAAAAGTGCGCAATCATGGAATAGACGCAATGAAATCTCACCAAACTGCCACTCAACCACTCCTAGTCTAATGCTGAAGTGCTCAGCCATCCACCGGAATGTCTTGGAATGGAATTATCCTGGAGAATTTCAAGATACTCATTGGTATTCGGTTTCAACAAAGACGGAATAGCCTTAGGGTAGTTTTTAGAATTTAGCACCGACACGGATAAACCATCGACTGAATGAAGGTATGCCTTTGTATATTGAATAGACGCACAGTTTTACCTACAGGTAATGTTCCGTGAGACATTACAGAATTTTGACCCGTGGGTACGCTGCTCTAGGATGAATATAAAGCACAATGCAGAGTTGGTCAGTATGGATCAAACAAATGTGGGTTCTTTGAACATGAGGTTAAGTGGGTCAATGTTCAGAAGGCTAGTTCCTACGTTGAAACTGCAAGGTCCCCCACAGGTCAAGTTCAATTCACCCGTTGATATCTGGTGGAGGCTCTATATTTCTTGCTGGAAATGAACTTTTAGGGGCTGGTTGTCATCGGAACACACCATCTAATGTTGCAGGTGTTCAACAATATCATTATTCTGATAAGCGGTAACGTGCAGAATGCCAGCTAATAAACATTAAACTCATCTTGTTCACCAGGTTAAGAACTTGTCCCTGCGTACATTACCACATAAGAGAGGGTTCCTTGGTTCAAAATAAACACGTCTGTTTAGCTTAAGAATTGGTGAAAGATAACATAGTCACTGTCTACTGGAGCGAATTAGCTGCCACATAAGTGGCCAGTTCTAATGCAGTAGCCTTAACTACGTTCGCAACACATCCCTTTTTCAATATACCGCGAAGCGCCGTTTCTATCCTCTAAGATTTTTTCCCACCCCAATTACAATGATCCAATTTGTACAAAATGTACTCATAGGGAGTGAACAGAAACAAATTGGGTTATTAGTAATTTACTGCTGGTTTACACATTCAGTTCCTGGTGTCAATGGGTAACAACAGGAAATGCGCATGCCAGTCTTGAGCGCCCAACTGCCGCGTCGTTCCGTTGGTATGCATTACCGATTTGAACAAACTGACTTGCAAAATTACGCTGAACAGGTGTACCCGATGTCCAGGTAAAAATCACTATTACTTCAAATTAAGAATCACTCATCGCAATTCCGTTTTTTATTAAAATTCAGATTAGTTGAGGCACCAGATGACGTCTGAATGAAGCCGGTCAGAATATGATTGAAATGGCAAGGCGTTAAGTTGTCCGAGGGTTACAACTGACGACGATAACGAATCCCATACAGAAGAATTAGAAATGTCGATCCAGAATTGAACTACAGTGTGTAACCCACTAGCACGAATCTGATCGAAAGTAACACACCCAAGAACGAATTTCGGATGACTTTTCTCCCACTCCACAGCGCCAAAGCAATAATTGTAAATTGGGGGAATCGTAACAACATCGATTTTACTGAGATCTGACGTAATACAATCACTTTTGCACAGGCAACACGCACATAGCACTCAGCAACTTGTCTTTTTTCATGCATACTTTCACATATGAGCCTGAGAGTGAAGTGTGACACGCACTGATGCCGTCAATAATAGATAGGACCAAGTGTCAATGGCGGATGAAAGAATAAATATTGAAATTAGTAAGGAAAATGCTATGGGAGTCAAAAATCGAATTATTCGAACCGGAGAACGAGAAGTCACAGTTCCTCCCCTAATCAAAAAACATACTCCGATGTAACGAAACAGACTGTCAGTTGGTGGGTCCAAAATATATTTATCTATTCTGATCCGGTCGCCTTTCGGAATAAACATCAGTCATCATACACTGCAGAGTGTCAGTGAATTTCACATATGATGACAGCAAGATACACTTACCATAATCAATGTTTGCCAGTCCGTCAAATGAGCTGGACTCAGCTGTTTGCAAATGCATATTCTGGTTTGAAGAATGAAAACGATTGGTCCAATTACTTTGTTTGCTGTCGCATACGGTCCTGACCAGTCCAGTTCCATAATGCCAGGCGAGGCTTTTGATTCTATCGGATTTAAGGCTGCCGGCAACGGTGGTACGGTATTGTTCAACTGTGGCTATATTGGTGGTGGAGGGAGTGATCAATGTTCGGAGAGGAGTTATCGCATTTATTGAAATGAGAGAATGAAGTTCATGTGCAAGCTCACTAGGTGCGAGAAACTTTGGGGAGGAAAAATCTGACCTCACGGAAGAAGACACGCGATGTTTACTTGGTACTGTTTACTTTCAGTAGTGACCAATGGCAACTAGGATGGAGCAGGCAATATTTGGAAATGTGGCACGGGACTTGTACAACTGTCCTCTATTGAACATTCTTCCCCTGAACAGTTCTGAAGACTATAGAGGAGAATGTCGGTAGCTCAGGTAGCGTAGATGGTCGTTGGCTTGTTCGCTGAGCTGGGCAATTTGGTTGCAAACGTTTCATCACTAATCGAGGTGACATCATCAGTGCGTAGTTGTGCGTAGCGGTGGGTTAGTAGAAAACTTTGCACACAATTTCCCCCGCTCAGCGAACAAGCCAACGACCAGTTCTGAAGACGTACAACCACGGAAGGCTGACGATAGCAGGTTTAATAAACCGAAATACACACCTTAATGCTTTTGGAGGGAAATCGATTGGAGCATTTTTCTGGTAAGCAGTTATTCGGTCGACAAACAATTAACTTCTAACTGTGATGTTTTTCAGGTGGGAAATTTAGAATTTTAAGCAACGGTCGTACCAATTGACTGCGAGGTGGAATTGCAATAAGATATCGCCTGTAAGTGAAAAGTGGTAGTCTGTATTTCTCTTCAGCTGAAAAATTCAAGCCCAAGCATCTGATTGGACTGTACGTTCAGTTGGCTGTTTTTCAATACACCGGGATAACTGTCAATGAATGAAGGCTACTCCTGAGTTACTAGCTGACTTACCTCAATGCAGATCCGCCGGCATCCGATAGAGCAACATTTGTAGAGTGGGTTTAAGCAATCATTGTCTGATCGGCACATGTTGAGGCAGGCAGAATGGTCCAAACCCGTTTCCACTGATTTGTCAGACGCTTGCTCAACTTCTGGGTTCTCGAGGGCAGCCAACGGACACTGTCCCGGTCGGAGACTGACGCTATCCTGAAGAAGTGTGCACCCGATGTGGCAGCCGACCTCTTCAGACTAGGTCAGAGTAAATCAAGATAAAGAAGTCGATAAATCCCCTGTGTTGTTGACAACGATGTGGCAGTAGCTAGTTGATCTTTCTACAAGACACTATATCCTCCATATACCATTACCGAATTCTGTCGACTGCTGCTCAAATACACGTCGTTGAACAGGAGTCACTCAAAGGAATGTAAGGAGACCTAGCGTTTCGATTCGACTATGTGTATTTACGTGCTAGCCAACGAACCCCTGGACAATAGACTGTCACTCTAACAAATACATTGAATAACAGTGCATTTAGCCCAACATACCAAGTCGGGACAAATAAAGTTAGCTCGTCAGCACCGCAGTGATTCCTGTCCCGATAACTTCACTACGAATGACCGATTTTGTTTGGTCGGACTGCGTAGATCAGTCTACAACTCAACGTCGTTTTTATGGGGAGGAAACCTGTCATGGATTGTGTCTGATCAGGCTAATATGACTAGCATGATAGTGGACCCCACATCCAAGCACGTGCTAAGCAGAACTAGCCGCCATGTAGGTCGGGTGCGAAAGAAATCGTTTCCTTTGTTTCAGGGTCGTGGGTGGTGGTGTATAACACGATGCCTCGTCCAAATTAGCTACGCACGTGACTGAATGGCATGTCAGGAACGATACAATTTGATGTATTTTGAGCCGCCAAAGTGTCCTTGAATAGATAGAATTCGATACACTGTTGTCAATTGGATGAGTCTGCTCAAACATCTACCGGCAGGTAGCAATTTGGTGGTCCCTTCCGCAACAGATGCCCAGCGTTTATCGAAATAGCCTCATGGCTAAACAGTGTCATGAAGTAAACTGAAAGGTGCTATGCCGCAGTAAGTTTAGCAGAGCAGCTACTGCTACTGATTTTTTTGCTGAAAAGAACGTGAGTGGGTCTCCCGTGACCGCCATGGATTTGTCTGTTTTACAAATAATGGTGGAAAGGTATAGTATCTGGTTGCACTGACGTAAATCAAAGTGAACACTGGGGGAATATGGTAGGAATTTGCCAGCTCCAAGTCAGTTTCCAACCATGCAGCCTTCAGGCAAGTTTATCCCCGTTAAGAAATGGTTCTAAACGCTAAGAGATAAGTCCTCTAGGACAGTTCGCCCCTGGTGTTAAATGATGAGGGTCGTGTGTGTGCGTGTGATAAATGCGGCAGTTTATGTGTTGCCGACTGTAAATTTTGTAGATGGTATAACTTGTGTGTTTTGTGTGATTTGTGTGATTTGCATCACCAAAGATTTTCGAATAACTAAGAAAGTGGGATTGGTGTTGATGCGAATGCAGTTCACGTCCTAGTGTCAGGTAAGCCAAACTGCCTATGGTCAGAGGCCAGTCCCCAGCATTTAGCCTATTTGATTTTAATTTAGCGGTCCAGTTAGTTCTGGAGGACCGAAGCAGACAAATATATAAAGTCTCGCTCGTCAATTAAAAGACGATGTTATTTGGGTATCTACGCGATTTCTGCAGGTCTCTCAGGGATTTTTAGTAATATCGGTTCAAAGAGAAATGGTGAACGGGGGATTGATGCTAAATAAAAAAATTGTGTGCGTAGCTATTTTGAATATAAGTATACATGGTTGAAAACTATGCGCAAGCATAATCCCCGGAAACCCGGGGACTGCGCCACCTGATAATCCCCAAAAAGGGCGGAACCGGTCGTGGGCTGTCGACGGATTTTCAGTAACCTTATGAGTAGTACATTACGAAGATATACACGTTTCACGATATCTCGAATATCGTAGCGACTGAAACATGAGGCGGCCTGCTGCAGTACATTCAGTTGTCTGAAAACACCACAAACCGAGAGATTCGCTGGGTTCCAGGTGAGTCTCCTTCGAAAAACCAAATTAGTCTGCACATGAGTGTATATTCGCTATGCGCAAGCAGGTTCACAGCCAAAGGGTTTTAAGACTAACCCCGATAGTGTGCTAACTGAACTGAGTGCTTGCACTGGGAGAGTCGCCCATGATATCTGAAAGGGCAACTGTTACACGATTTGGAACCAGGACCGATTTACCTTCCCTTCTCAGGTGACCAGAATGGCAGTCAGAGTTAGGGAATAATGAAGAGGAGCTTCAAGTACCTCAGAACTCTAGAAACCAGGCTGATAAGTCTAAATAAACACGAAGTCTGAACCGGTAAGGTTCACGTAACCTCCAAAAAGCACCATTTGTTTAAAGCTAACCTCTCATGGATGTTTTGTGCACTCCAAGTGATGGATGTCCAGAAGCAACACTCGAGGTAGGAAAAGAACTCCGCATTTTTCTAATCCACAGCTGTTTGAATCCTGACTGGAAAAATCGATGGCGACTGCATAAGAGAACGTAAGGAAAACTACATCTTGATGCTGTCTGGACAACTATGTTGGCACGAAATCACAATTTACTTCATGGAGTTTGTTTGTTTCGTAGAGTTCCACATTGCTTTATTGAGTCTATCTTATTTCGCAAAACGAAGGCTGCTGGGGGAACCAGTTTAGGTTCATGATGGCTTGTGAGACTCGAGTAACCCTAAAGCGTGGTACGTCTGGTTCCTATGAGTCACTACATACGTATAGGACAGAACGACGCAACACCACGCGGGTGCATTCTGACATTCTCTGAGAAGGACGAACTATCTTTCAACAAAACTAAGCACTTTTTGCTGGTCAGGGCCATATCCTTGTAACGGTTTCAGTTGAGATTAGTAATGCTTGTGTGCGCTGTGGAGCTCAATGATAAGAGCCAGACAGACCGTCAATGTTCACTCATTTTTGTGAACTGTGGTTTGCGATTACCCTGGAAACGGATCGGTGCTGGTCCTGTTGTTAATGCGGTAATTTGTCTTCCGAGGCTTTCGATTCCCCATCCATGGCACAGCTCACCGCTGCCCATACTGGGTTCACTGTAGGAGTGAGAAAGACGGGTTCAACGCATTCTCCGTCTGATGCATACCGGAGGCGGGGATAGCCTTCTCACCTCACCTCTGTCGTGTTCAACGCACACGACAGGACTGCTCTACTCACGCTACGCCGTAGGTGATCTAGTCAAGTGCGTTCAGCCTACGCACGAATGAAGGCAGTGAAGGCTCGAAATGCACTTCACCGAATTGCTGAAACGTTTGAAGTTGGGGCTTGATTATAGGGTCAGTGGAGAACAGCTTCAGCGAGCGGTCGCCTGTTATGAAAAAGTACAACCAACCAATACACACCAGAGTCTCAAGGCCATGTGCAACACCGGAACGAGGCTTCCTCACTGCAAGTATACAGCAGTTGGTCGTTCGGGTCTACATGGTTTTCCATGGGCGAGTGATGGCTCTGCTCTACCAGTTTCGGAAAAGTTTATTGAGGCAATTGAGGTCAGGTAGATATAACTGAAGCCACGGGCGATCAGACAATCATCACATGATCTCATACATGTTAGGAACAGGATGGCGAGAAAAATCTGTGATGTAATGATGAAAAAAGTTACTGGAACTCGAGATAAAGCACACTATACACGAATATGTTCGGTTTCGAATCATGACATGTCCAGTTGCTCGATATACTTGGTCCTTTTGATGGTGTTGAGTTTTATCTAAATGATTTTCGAAGCTCGAGCATCCCTCTGAAGCAGTGGTGAAAGCATGAGCCAAACTGTTTCCATCTTAAACTATTCCGACCCGAAGAACTACTGAAGGGTAGGCTCAATCGTCCTCCTTTTGATGGACGACTTGTACGTGTGTAGTGTTTATTGATCCAAACAGTGCCCTTAATAGCAGGATAGGGTATATTTTAGATAGATTTCACTCAGTGAGGAAATCCAGTAGAGGGATCGTTCGGTGCACAAAAGCTTCATCGCGTTACTGGGAAGATTATGGTCTACTGCAAGTTTCATGCTGAATGATATGATGCATGTACGCTTACCAATATAACTAAGCTAATCCATTTTGTTTCGTTTTGTAACTGAACATAGCAAATGCAGATCGATATGAATTTCATGCCATTTTCTTCCTCCGTAGGTTGTCTCTTAAGAACAGGTTTTGAGGTCGTACGAAGAGTACGACGAGTACGAAGAGTAGTCGGAGTGCCTTGGAGTACTTAATACTGCCGCTTATTAATATGCCCATTCTATCATGCTGCTCTGTTGTGCGGACCAAATTCTAGTACTGATCTGCGTACGATCATGATAGAGCGAATACACTAACACAGTAGTTGCATAAAGACATAAACACGTGTACCCCCAAACCTCATTTAATTGGTGCATTGAATCATGACTAGAGAAAACGATAGTCATTAAAATTGTAGCAAAAATGACCATAGCTATCCAAAACGTGTACAATAAACAGTGAACCTTGCTTTTCTAGTAGCAAGGTCGACAAGACAGATTTTTTCTTCCCATTAATCCCCGGGCCAGTTACTTCTGTTAGTCTATTCGACTCAGTTTTACTTCAACTCGTTCTACGTCATCATCGGTGCCTTTTACTTGCAATTCCAGCAGAGGTTGTAGGGGTCGTTTAGGCGATGCAAACTAAACTAAACTTGGGATAGCACTGAGCAATACAGTTATAAATAGTCTGTATGTAAAGCAAAAGACTCCGTGTGAACAATTGCAAGAGCAAAATGAGCAATGGTTTCTCGGATTTAATTGCTCTATAAAGTAAGACACTTCAATAGCACACTGTATTTTCAGAAAATTAGATGATTTATCCGAGAATTCTAAGTTCGGCAGTAACTCGTAAAATCACAAAGATTTTTGCAATTCACTACTCATAAGGTTGCTGAAAATTTTTCGACCTTATGAGTAGTGCATTACAAGTATACATGTATCTCGATATCTCGAATATCGTATTGACTGAAACATGAGGTGGCCTGATGCGGCACGTTCATTAGCCTGGAAACATCACAAACGAGAGATTGTGCTGTGTTCTAGGCTAGTCTCTCGAAAAACCAAATTAATTTGCAAATGAGTGTATTTCGTAGAAA